GCGTGCTTGTGCGTGCTTGTGCGTGTGCGTGCGTGTGCGTGCGTGCACGTCCACGTGCGTGTGACTTCGCTGTTGTGCGGTTGTGCGGTTGGGGGGTGTGGGGGACTTGGGAAATCACGTGTGAGCTCACTCCTTTGATACTGCTCAAGCGCGCTGCGGTCAGGTGCGAACAGTCACATGCGAAATGTATGGATGACATCAAGCAGGGTCTGAAAACTTCACTCCGCTCTTGTTCTGCATTACCTTGTGCCGGACGATGAAGCTTCAGTAAACAACTCAGGGAACAAGACTTCCTTGGGAGTTACGTAGCTGCAGAAAGAGCACGGAGTCAGTTCTCGCAACTTGGACCCTCTCTTGAACTGGGCACAAAAGCCATTGGCATGCCAGCATCGAGAGCACTGTGCAATTGTGAGGGTCTTACTAGCTGGACAGCTATCGAAGTGGTCGCGTATGCGACGCTCCAGCCTGGCGATTTTCGCCGTAGACTCGTCCAGTCGAGTCCTCAGTCCAGCATCTTCAGTGCTCCGGCTTGACGTACTGGACAGCTCATGTTCGAGTCGTCGGACATGTGCATTCACGTTTGAGAGCTCGCTTTCAAGTCGACGAATCTGACTTGCCTTGTACGCGATCTCGTCCGACAGGATCAAGTGCTTCCTGTTCTCCACAATGTTGTGCACCACGACCTGTTCGGTCTGGGAGCCTGTCTCGTCCGTAGTCGCCGAGGTCGAAGAACTCGTAGTAGTTGACGAAGACCATGTAGGCAGCAGTCTTCCCAAAGAACTCACTGCCAGAAAGCCACCATATACAAGTAGCCGCTCAGTCACCACGATGATGAAGATTGCCATCATCCAGAAGAGCGCCTCGTCGTTCCACCATGTTGACATCGAAGACGAAGAAGTCGAGGTCGTAGTAGCTGATGTCGTAGACGTAGAGGTCGCTGAGGTAGCCGACAAACTTGAAGCAAGAACTGTGGCGAACAAGAAAGGTTTAGCCACCCGAGCTTGTGAGGCCGCCAACAGCAGGAAGAAGTTCTCCAGCAGCGTGTCGTCCTTTTCCAGGATCGTGTCCTCGTTCACGTTCTCGATAGGTGGAAGTCGCCGTAGAAGTAGAGGATGTTCGAACTCATTCTTGAAAACCACCAAACCACAGGACATCAAGTGCATCAGCGGAGGCGAGATCATAGGTTTTGTGAGGGCGTCCGCCGTCATGCTCTGTGTGGGAACCAGCATCATCCAGCGGATTCTGCCACAGATGCGCGCCTCCTTGTGTGCCAATACGTACAAGCGTTGGCCCTTGTCCTGCGGCAGTGTCCTTTCCCCTGTCGTGAGCTCGAAGAAGTCCTTGCAGTCGGTCATGGCGTCCACCGGAAGGTTGGGGTTGCCGTTCTCCTGGATCTTCATGAGGTCCTGCAACGTAGGTTGCCCCTTTTCAAACGACAACTCGCTCAAACGAATGGCAACCAGGGACACAGTCTCCAATCCGCCGATCGCTGCCAAGGTTTCGGCGTGAGAGGTGCTGTACGACACCCTCTTGGCTTTGGCCCCGTGAGACCACAATACATGGGCCTTTCCACCGAGGTTCGCCGTGAGGCTGTCACTGGCTTCCACTTTGTAGACGTCCTTGCCAACGAAGAAGTTGTCTTCGCAGAGTAGCACCAGGATGCCCTCCTGAGCGTAGTTTCGGTCCTTGTTCGCAGAGCTGGCATCGTGGATGCAGAGTAGGCGTAGCTTGCCCCCTAAGAACCGGTAGTGGAGGCCCAGGTCGAGGTGGTCGGGGTGCTTGGCCTTTTGGACAATACGGTTGGCGTGTCGAAGGTGTTCGATGCGCGCCTTTGTCACTTGTGACTGCAACAAGGCCACATCTGAAATCAAATCCAGTCTCGTAGCCGTCAGCCACAGTAGCCCACCAAGAATCGACCTGAAAGTAGTTAGCTCTGCTGCGCTGAGTGGCTCGCTGTCCTTCTTGTTTTCGGTAACCTCTGTTTCCACAAGCTTCTCAGCAAAGTGTTTCTGGGACATGCGATAGCCATCTTCCGTTCTCTCATAGCGACACCCGCAGTGGTCAAAAGGCATGACCTGCCTGGTAACATTCCCAAACTCCTTCTTGAGGATGCTGAACAGCCAGTCTAGGAAAGACTTGTACGCAGAGGTGGCCAGGTCGTCCACATGCGTTGACACTAAGGCCATCAACTGCTTCTCGGGAGTTTTCCAGACAAACAGGTTCTCATCCAAGAGCGACGGGAAGCCACCGTGCTTCTTCAGGAACTCGTGCAGACACAACTGCCATGCCAGCGGCGCGTCGTTGAGTCCGTAGACAGGCTTGTCGCAAGCCAAGCCAAATGCCGCGAAGTCGCCCTGGATCTCGAAAGAGGGATCTGCTGAGGCCAAGTGCCGCCACACGTTGGCCGGCGGTATGATCACCACTTTGCGTACCGGGGAAACGATGCCTCGTGCACGTAGCAGTTGCCGCACCTTCTCGAAGGTAAATCCTTTCAGGAAAGCACCCGAAATGTCGAAAGACTCACAGTCCATCTTGTGACAAGCAGCAGTGGAGAGCACTATTCTTTGCGACAGACGCGTGGCTGTTGTGCTGCGTGTCGTGAGGTGTTCACGATGAGGATCAAAACACCCTCTTGCACACAGTCTGCTTTTCACCACCAAGCTGCCATCGCCCTTGCGCTTCCACTTGCGCACCCAGGTAGCATCGATCACCACTGTATCTTCCGACAGTGTGTTCATCAGCACCTTGCGAAAGGACTTCGTTTCAATGAACTGCAGCAACTCCTTGCGGTCAGCTTCTTCCACCTGGTCCCAAATCTTGTAGACCTCGGACTCAGCAATGTTGTCCGTTTCGGTGTCGACCTTGAAAGCGAGGCCATCCTGAAGATCCACATGGAAAGTAGAGTATTGCTTTCCGGGCCAAGTAACCAAAGGTCTCTCTGTCTTGCTGAAGGTTGTAGTAGCTGAGGTCAAACATCGGCCCATGTGAGCATCCAGGAGTGAAAAGAGTGCCATGTTGCATGCTGAAGAAAGTTGAGGTTGAACGCCCAGATTGAACTTCCTGTGGCGACTGGCAAGCCAGTACAACTGGTGGAGGTAGTCGATGTCGTAGTCCTCTGAGTTCAACGTCTTCAGCACCAACGAATCCAACGAATCAGTTCGCTGTTTCTTAGACTCCTGGCCGATGATAACCGTGCGAGTCTCCGGACCCTTGCGCTTGTGGTCGATAAGGTCCGAGGTGTCCATGGCTGGCTCCAATGAGTCAAGCTCCATAGGCACCGTAGGAATGACATCCGAAGGTTCCTTCACCGCCATGGATCTGACTTCTTCACCAACATGGTTGTAGTAGAAGAGGTACACAAAGCATGCGTCCTCGACCGGAAATGGCACCATATCCTTGATCTTCAGCGTAGTGGATGACCAATGTTCTTGTGATGCATATTGTTCCGATCCTTGCGCCCAAAGCAACAAAACACCAATGGAGTGAGGTGGAGGTCGTAGATGTCGTACTCCTTGTCCGATAGCCACACCGCCGAAGGGACGATCACTGAAGTGACGTGCCACCAAGGTCGCGTACTCCATGATCTCTTCGTATTGAGGAAACGAACTGGAAGCTCGTCGCCAAACCTGCTGTCCGTCAGCTCTGTCCATGACCCATCCGACAATTGAAACCTTGTATGGTCTCTGCGCCTCGGCCCTTTTCCGCAGTTGTTGAACTGCCTCTTGTACAGCATCTGGGAGAACTGCAAAACTCGTGGCCTCATGTAGACGCAGGTGTCGTAGACCAACAAGATAGGGTCGACCTTGGTACTGGACAACAGCGTTCCCTTCATTGGCGTCGATCTTCAGCAGCTCTGCCGGTCCACGCCAACCAACGTCACCTGCAATCTCTCGATAGATATCCACCGCCGTGGTGCCCGGAGTCAGGGTGCCCAAGTCGAGCTGGTTCGTTCTTGTTCTGTTGGCTCGGGCAACCCGATCTTCAGAGATCGCCTGTTGGATGCAGGACATAGAAATCTGACGAACACGAAGGGCTCGTTCGAACTGTGACAGGTCCGTTTGAAGGGCACCTGCATCAGCCATCACGTTTTCCGAGGCCACGTCGAAGAACGGCCTTGGAAGAACTCCAAGAACGGCCATCGCAGGAGTAACTCCACCAAAGTTCAAGGAGAGGTTTTGCGCCATCGTTGCCTCTCTCGCCAGCTCATCCACGTCAGCGTAAAGACCTTGCCTGTTGAGCTCGCTCGCAAGTTTCCGCATCGTCAGCTCGGTGAGGCCAACGTGGCGTTCCACCAAACCAGTGCCAGTGTGTTGTCTGCCTGCTGCTCCACTCGTGGTGCCGCGAGGGCATCGTGTGATGCCAAAACGTTCCAAATCTGCGCTGGCCTCGTGAGACATCACCGATGACTCCTGATCGGCCACCAGAAAGGCTGGAGGCCCGAAGTACATCATCCACGTAGAGAGCAGCATCTTGGTGATCTCCTTCCAACCCTTGTCGGCAATCATGACACCGACCTTGTATCGAGTGGCCTCGTCCACCAGCAAGCATATCCACTTGCCTGAGTACTGGAAAAGGTCCATTTGGACTCGTTCGTTGAACACGTTGGAGGAGTTCACCTTAACTTGTGGTCGGTTTGGCAGACGAACAAACTTCCGGCACACTGAGCATCCTTTTATCGCCTCTGGAACCAAATTGAGAACCGGCCCAGGCATGCCACAACGAGCCAACATATTCCGAAGATCGCCCAATGGGGCATGATAGAAACGTTCGTGTAGCCCAAGGATCAGGCGCTTCGCCGTGAGAGGGTCTGTCTCCGCAATCTGGATCAGCCTCTTGAACACTTTCTTGAAGGAGTACAGTGGCTTGAGCTCTTTCTGCGGCGCACCCTCAAACGTCTCTTCAATCTCCTCAACTTCCTCCGGATCATCGGGAACCTTGTCTTTGGAGGCAGGTTCCGGTAGTACATCTTTAGAGGAGGAAGCCTTGGAGCGGTGGCTAGCTTTCGTAGGTGTAGCTGGGATAGCCCCGGGCTCTTCGTCTGCAGCCACCTTCGCTGAAGGGTCCTTTTCCTCTGGGTCAGAACCGAACAGCGTAACAAGCCAGTTGATCTCCTCGATGGGCTGGTGCTGTTGCGAATGGCTCAGCAGACGGAAGTCCTCTAGCTCCATGATTTGCCACCGCTTCACATCACCACGTATTTGCAAGCGAAGTGGCGAGGTCTTGGACGACAGCTTAGGCTCAGGAACCATACAATGAAATGGCCTGAGAGCACAGGCCACGCCTTTCACGTTCATCTCCTTCTGGAAGATCTCTTGGAACATGGTCTTGTGAACGGGATCCGTGACCCAGTGCACATAGTCCAGCTGTCGTTCCACCGCCTCGGTGAAAAGAGCCACAGAGTCTTGCACCATCATCAGCAACGTATACTTCAGGTAGAGCGATGCCTGTACTGGAAGGAAGATGTCTGCTGGTGTTTCCAACACGATCCCTTCCAGATCCTTCTCGCGAGCCTTGCGCTTGAAAGTGGACAACGGGTCAGCAGGTCGTAGTGGTTGACGTCGTTTCCCAGGTGGTCTTTGCGCATGCCGACATTCGCCAGGAATGAGCGAGTGCTCCATGAATGGCAAAGCAGCTCGACCCAGCTGACAACGTTCACACTTGTAGCCAGAGAAGTTGGCATGGAGGAGCAGTTCGGAAGGCCATTGCTTCACCTGCACCTCAGAACTTCGCAGAGACTTCCAGACATCATCCACCAGTGCATGGCACATCCGCCGAGGATACACCAGGGACTTGCTCGCGAAATTCACGCCCAAAGCAGGACTGCCTTGAGCAACGTGGCCTCGACCACGATGCCCGTTGCATCGCTTTGCTGTCTTGTAGTGCTTCACGTTGCTAACGATGGCAGTGGCTTTCCTTATTGGTTGTCCTTGGTCATTGGCACATCCATGAAAACACTGGTCCACTTGTTGCCGCTTGCGAGTGCCGGGGATGTCGTAGATATCGTAGAGCGGGCTGTTCTTGCAAGTGAACATGGTCGAGTTCAGGGGCTGCTCTATTCCAAAGCGTAAACCCTGTCGTGCCTGGTCACGACAAAGTATGCTGAGGAAACTCAGCGCAGGCTTCTCGTATGCCTGCTCTGCTTGTAGTAGATGAGGAGCTTTGTTTGACGCTTGGGACCATGGAGAGCTCGTGGGCGAAGCGTACAGGTAGTGAGGAAGGAATTCCCCGTGGGCCTGCTGGATCATCTCTTGATGTTCAGGAAGAGAAAGGTCCCAGCCGTAGCGGTAGTCCACGGGAAAGCCCACCATAAGTCCAGACATCACCGCCAACAAGCTCAAACGTCCAGTTCCGGAAAACAACTCCTGAAACTGCCATCGCAACCCGCGTCCTCGACATCGAGCAAACCAGGTAGAGAAATTTCGAGGAGTCACTGGTCGCCGCTTTGTTTTGCTGTAGTACTCCTCCTCAAGAAGTCCATATCGTCGTTCATGACGTTTCACCTCCACTGAGGTCCAGTGCTCGGGGAAGCAATCTTTCTGGTACTCCCCAAAGTCCTCCCAGGGCATCTCACCAGTCTCATCAGCAATAGAAGAGACTGTCTTGGGACTTGTAGCCTCGTCCCGAAGGTAGAACTTGGTTTGGCCTGTCCACAACTGACCAAGATCACGGTGAGGATGATTCGCCTTGGTCCATGAGTCTTTGAAAACCTTCGTGACACCATCGCAGCACCAAGTTGTTTCTCGACGACCAGAGAGAAGCTGCGAAGATACCGGACAGTCCTTCGTGCAACCAGGAGTGAATAGTGCCCTGCGAGGTCTGTGGTGATGCCTGACCAAAACATTGCCAAAGAGAGTCCACTCATCCACTGCACGCCAGGTCTGCATAGGATCATCGGCTGAGAGCAAAAACAGACCACGGACACTAGCGTGCCTTGTTCTGGACGGTGACATGTCCTGACCCCCTGCGGCATCGTTAACATCAACCTGTGGGACACTGTGTTCTGGAACTTCTGCTGAATCACGACGGACACTGTGTTCTTGCATCTTTGCCTCCTCGTTCGCTTCAAAGAAAACTTCACTCCGCTCAAGTTCCGCATTCCTTGCGCCGAAGAAAAAGTGCCGAACATCCTTCCATTTCTTGCGTGCCACATCAACTGAGCTCTGAAGGAAGGTCGTGGCTTTTGCCTTGGCCTCGTCAGAAACCATGTTCGGCCCTCGGTCCACCGGCAGAAGGTAATGGCCAGAATCTGTGAGCAGAAGACGGAAGTGGGACCAGGTAACATCCTGGCCCTGAGGTTCCCCGCCACGAGGGTGGCAGGCCAGCAAGCCATCGCCGTTGTCGAAGAAGTTGCTGTAGATCACTGAGCTCATCTTCCTCAAAGCTGGATTGGACAAAAGCGCGGGGCAAAGACTGCCCTCGCCCCCAAGGACATCTGCCGTGAAGGTGCCCTGGTCCTTGTTCCCGAAGCCAATCGGGATTGTGACTTCACCCAAAGTCTAGTCCTTGGCTCCAGAGATGCCGGAGACATTGGCCACTTTGCTGCTCCACTGGATCATCTTCTTTTCCTTCTCGGGCAAACATGTGTCCACAATGTCTCGTAGGGTCTCTGAGCCAATGAGACCATTGCTGGCCCCAGGATCCACCAGCAAGCCTCTTCTCTTGTGTCCTTCAATCATATGGAAGTGCTCCCGGTCCGCGTACAGCGTGACAGGGAAGTTGAAGGCCAGGTTCTTGCTGCTCTGGTTGTTGTGGTTCTGGTCCTGGGCATCCTCTGCATCGTCGGGCCGGTCCTCGAAGGTCACTCTCGACTTCTTGCCTAGGAACTCCGGGTCGTCCTTGTCCATCTTGAAGACTTCAGGTCGTAGCGAGGATCGGCTCGGAAAGGCAGCAAAGGTATCCGTGCCGAAGTGCGCGGCCAAGTTCTTTTCGTGGTTGTAGTCATCAGGGTACTCAGCATAGCCACGCCACTTGCTCTTGCCCTTGGACTTGCCCTTAGAGCCTTTCGAGCTCCAGGGGCTCCATTTGCCGTAGCCTTTTCCTTTCGGAGTCCAAGGTCGCCGGAAGCCTTTTCCGTAGCCTCCTTTGTTGCCTTTCTCGTGGCCTTTAGAACCGAAGCCGCCCTTGCCAGCCTTGCCGCCGACAGGGCACGATGTAGCATGGTGCCACTTACTGCCACAAACAGAGCAGCCAACACCCATGGCATTCCCCTTGGGCCGCTTCCCTTTGCCTCCTTTGACAGGATAGCTCCAATCGGCCCGGTGATGATCATCAGCTGGATCTCCTTCTCCTTCTTCAGGCCAGTACTCCTCTTCTCCATCGTAGTAATCCTCATGGCCTGTCTCGTCATACTCATACCAGGAAGGCTCATCATAGCCATCTTCCCAGCCATCATCTGTCCACCAGGAAGAGCCCCAAGATGTCTGCTCGCTTGGGGGAACTGAAGCATCCTCGTCCTGGTAGTAGTTGTCATTCTCGTTCTTGGAGCTCATCCTCAGCGCCAAGCTGCGGGCCTCTTGATACCTCCGCAAGTCACCATGGACTTGCAGCTTTATATCTTCCACCAGTCTCGGTGCCAAGCCGCTGTTCTTGAAGAAGAAGTAAAAGTGCGCAACCTCATTCATCTCCAAGCCTGCTCGTTCATGCGCTTCCTCCATCCGGGCGTCAAACTCCACCGCGTACTCCTGAAGGGTAAGTTTTCCCCTTCGCAGCTCGAACAGCGACTCCAAACTTCTGCTGGCCATCTCCTGGTCCGTGTGACCAAAGGTCTCCCGCAGCTTGTCGCACAAGGCCTGGATGCCACTCACGATGTGGTGTTGGAGGATCACGTTGGGGTTCGCTGGATCTCTCACCTCGTCCACCGGAAGCCGGACTAAGGCGTCCGATCCAATGTCCACTTGGCCGTCAGGACGGGGAAGGCGCAAAGACAACGCCAGCTTCTGCGCCTTACCTGTCAGCCGCCCTGCCACCAGCGGCCCCACGGTCTCATCTGGTCCATCATACAGCCTGTACCACATCTTCAGCCGCTCAAAGAAGGTCTTCAAAGGGTAGTCTGGGATGTTCGGACCCCAGCCAGGAGGAACGTCCCGCCGATACTCGTGTAACGGGATTCCAGTCGTAGGTGCCGTTGAGGAAGACATTGTTTCCACCAGCCCGGCAAGGATGTAGTAGACGCTGTGCTCCACAAAGCCGTCGGTCTTGTACTCGAAGAAGCTGTTGGTCTCGTCCACAAAGAAGCTGGTCTTGTACTCGAAGAAGCCGTTGGTCTCGTACTCGAAGAAGCTGGTCTTGTCCTCGAAGAAGCCTTCGGTCCTGTAGTAGGAGGAGCTGTCGGCCTGGTAATCCACGAAGAGAAGGTGGTTCACAAAGCCGTCGGCGCCACCAGCCACCAAGCCGTTGGTCCTGTTCTGCTTCTCGAGGTCTTGGCTCCGCAAACTGCCCTGGATCACCAAGCTTTCGCCAACAAACGAATTCTGTGACACAGCCTGAGGCAACTGCCGCCGCGTCCAAGTCCTGGGCACTAGGATGCCCGTCTGGTAGTAGAGGACAAGGAGGATCGCAGCCACCAGGCTTCTTTCAGTGAAACGTGTCGTGGTTCCGGAGAATCGGGTAATCGTTGTGCAAGAGGAGAAAAGAAGGCTGGCCTCCAGCCAGCAGCCTAGGTTCGGCCTAGGCAGCCGCAGCGCACCCAGCTATGGCGAAGCAAGAGCCGAAGCTCCGCTACCAAACTTGGGAAATCACGTGTGAGCTCACTCCTTTGATACTGCTCAAGCGCGCTGCGGTCAGGTGCGAACAGTCACATGCGAAATGTATGGATGACATCAAGCAGGGTCTGAAAACTTCACTGGGGGTGTGTGGGTGGGTGGGTGGTGGGTGGGTGCGTGGCTTCGTGGCTGCGTGGGTGGTGGGTGCGTGGGTGCGTGGGTGCGTGGGTGCGTGGGTGCATATGTGTGCGTGGGTTGCGTGCGTTGCGTGCGTTGCGCTGCGTTGCGCTGCCCTGCGCTGCACTGCGCTGCGCTGCAGTGCGTTGCGTTGCGTTGCGTTGCGTTGCGTTGCGTTGCGTTGCGTTGCGTTGCGGTGCGGTGCGGTGCGGTGCGGTGCGGTGCGTGCGGTGCCGTGCGGTGCCGTGCGGTGCCGTGCGGTGCCGTGCGGTGCCGTGCGGTGCCGTGCGGTGCCGTGCGGTGCCGTGCGGTGCGGTGCGGTGGGGTGCGGTGCGGTGCGTGCGTGTGTGTGAGTACGCGAGCGTGTGAGTGCGCGAGCGTGTGAGTGCGCGAGCGCGTGAGTGAGTGAGTGAGTGAGTGAGTGAGTGAGTGAGTGAGTGAGTGAGTGAGTGAGTGAGTGAGTGAGTAGTGAGTGAGTAGTGAGTGAGTGAGTGAGTGAGTGAGTGAGTGAGTGAGTGAGTGAGTGAGTGAGTGAGTGAGTGAATGAATCAATGTGTATCTGGCTGGGTGGGTGGGTGTGGGTGGGCGTCTGTTTGTTTTGTGGTG